TTGCCTCTATAATAAGAACTGTTCTCAAGATGTTTACATATTTATGTGTAAAAAGCCTAAGCAGTTTATAACAGAGATCTTTAAAACAAATACCCTAATTTTTGTTACCTTGAGTATCATAATAATCTTATAGCAGCAGTTTAAGAACCATTTTGAAGATGCTTACATACCCACACACACACACACACAAAACACACACACAACACATGTTGTGAGCACACCATTAGATGGGTGCATAATCTGACCAGCCATTAGCAAGGGAAACATAAGCATCTCATGACTGTCTCAATAACAGACCACACTTACTGCACCAACCTTTGGGAACAGTTTTTTTGTTTACCAGCAACAAAGTTGCTCTTTTTTTTCACCCTTTTAGGTAGGTTCTCCCTGTTTATGCTCCCTAGAAGGTGCCAGCAAGTTCAGTGTTTCTGGCATATTTTAATAATCTTAAATTGTTTTTATTTACTTTTTATTTTCAAGACATAAAAACTCAACTGAAGGAGTGTATTCAACCTTTCATCCTTTTCTGTCTCTAAACATTTTATGACATTTTATTTTTTCTCTCTCCCCTCTTTTTCTCTCCAGTCTCTCTCTCTCTCTCTCTTCTCTCTCTCTCCTCACTTCATCCATGAAGACCTCATCCCAATTTTGTTTCCATTCCTCCACTTATCTCTCTACATTCACAACCCTTCTGCAATGTTCCTTTTCTTTCAAGTCAGACCAGATCTTATGTATCAGTGCAAGTCCATCCTTCATGTGTTAATTTTTGTAAGAACTCAGTGCTGAGCCTCAGTCCTCCTTCAGGATGCCCATTTTGGGTGAAGATGTGCAAACTGGGGCACCAAAGCTACCCATCAAGGCTAAAAGACTCTGATTTCTCCTCAGTCTGTAAATTGCTACCTGGACTTAAATAAACAACAGAGTCTGCTTTTTGAAGACCAATTTTAGCCTCTTGGCTGTTCCCATTCTCCTGGATGTTAGGTTTGTTTTGTTTTGTTTTGTTTACAATTACTCTGTAAACTTCATTAATCACAGTTTTATCTAGTGACCCTTCTGGGGGCCATCCTACACCAAAGGCAGGCCTATCTACTTTACAAAGGACCTTTAGCTTGTTAGGAGTTAACTCTGTAGTCTCCATTAAATCCCTTTTTAAAGTTATTAATCATACACTCCAAGGGAGTGTTTTTACTCTGATTTCCACCCATCTTTTCCTGTTACCAGACAGCCAGACAGACACAGAGGGGGAGGGAACTCCTCACTTACTTCACAGCTGGGCTGCATCTCAGCTCACATTTTCATATACTCTCATACAGCACTGTACTTCCATACCACTCCCTGAACTTGAGAGACACGGTTTCACCTCCAAAAAGACAGTTACTAGGGTGTCCCATTGGGAGGTGATCAAGCTCCCCTACTGCCTCCTGGGGCAAGACTGAATTTGAACCCAGGTTCTTACCAGTCTGATGAGCAGTGCTCCCCTCTCCTCGCTGGTTCCTGTGCTTCACTGGGCTCCATTGTGCATCCAAGGCCCTCACCCGACTTGCCAGGAAGATGAATCCTCCTCTGGATCAAGCTGTCCATTGGCACCTGGTGGGATCTTCTCCTGGCAGTCCAGGAGGATGCACCCCGGTGACAAAGGAAGTGATAACTCACCATCTCTGCCATCATCCTGGGGGATAATGAGCCCCCAGGAAATGTTGCAGGAGTTTGCTAGCTGAGATACAGGATTCTTGAGGCAATTAGCAGGAAGTAACATTTTATTGTGCCAGCACAGACTCAGTGAACTCATGTCCAAAGTCTGAGCCCTGAGAACAAAGGGGTCTCACCTTATATACACTTACAAGCAGGTTAAAGAAGCAAAAAGCAAGTTCTAGTCCATATATGGTTATATTTAATTTTATTGGCTACTTTACCCTAGTGCTACATGACTTTCTCCTCCCTGGTGCTACATTACCTTCTTCATGTTCAGATTTCTCAGGTTTTATCTCTCTGCTATGACATCCCTACCTCCCTGCTACTTTCTCAGGACTCAGGGCTAGTCTGCTTTCTTCTGATCATCCTCTCTGCTACAGCATGACCTTTTTCCTTCAGTGGTAAAATAGAAACTGTATAAAGCCATCAATGGCATGAGGCAAAAATCAGTACTGTAGAGAAGATGCGATGTGTTGCTGACAGTCTCTTGCTGGGGTCAGTTTAGTTAAAGTCACTCATTGTCCAAATCAATTTTACCGATTTTTCTGTCTAAAGATTCATGCTGGGCTGGGGTTGTAGCTCAGTGGTAAAGAGAGCTTCCCTAGTGTGTGTGAAGCACTGGGTTTGATCTGCAACTCAGCACTTTGGGCCTTAGTTTTAGCCTATTGGTGATGGACCGTTTGATACAAATGAAAAGGTATAAATTGCTTTTATGAACATTTTATAATGCTGAAGAAAACAGTAGGTAGTGTCCTCTGCTTTAAGTAAATACAACATAAGGATGTTAGATTTAGAAGTAACCTAGGGGAAGACTATTGGAAAATGAAAAAATGCTTCAACATAATTAACTTTTTTCTGGTGTGCTTGTTTGTTTTGTGTGTGTATGTGTGGTACTGGAGTTTGAACTCAGGGCATCATGCTTGCTAGGCAGGCACTTTACCACTTGAGCCACTCTGCCAGCCGTTTTTTGTGATTTTTTTTTTTCAAGATAGAGTCTCATGAACTATTTGCTCAGGGCTGGCTTCAAACCAGAAGCCTCCTGATCTCTGCCTCCTGAGTAGCTAGGATTACAGGTGTGAGCAACTGGTGCCCGGCCTCTGGTGTTTTTTTAAAAAACAAGTTATAGTTCATGTTTCAGAAAACATCAATCTCATTAATCCAAGTCACATCTGCTTCACTGCCACATACACAAGAGTTTGCTACCTGGGTGCAGGTCTATTTCCTTAAAGGATCTGTTTTGTTTTGTTTTTTTGGCAGTACTGAAGTTTGAACTCAAGGCCTCATGATTGCTAGGCAAGTGCTCTGCCACTTGAGCCACACACCCAGCCTTTTTTGCCTTTTAGGTTATTTTTGTAGATAGGGTCTTGTGGTTTTGTTTGGTGTTCGCCTCAGACCACAATCCTACCTATGCTTCCTACATAGCCGGGTTGACAGACATGTGCCACTGCTGGGCTTATTGATTGTAATGGTGTCTTGCTAACTTTTTCCCAGGGCTTGTCTTGAACTGTGATCCTTCTGATGTCTGCCTCCCAAGTAGCTGGGATTACAGGCTCGAGTCACTATGCCAGGCAGAATCTTTTTATTTTCATTTATTTTTTGCAGTGCTGAGGATGAAACCCAGGGCCTTGCTCATACGAGGTGAGTGCTTTGCCACTGAGCTACAAACCCAGTTACTTAAAGGGTTTCTGGTCAAATATTACAACCAAGGGAAAGAAGAATGAAATAATGTTCCCATAGCTTTGCTTTCTAGTCTGTTTCCAACAAAGTGATACTAAAAGCTAGTCAGGTAATTCCACTTCTAAGGATTTTTTTTTAATACAAAGTGAGACAACAGGAAATTTTTTTTTAATTAATGAACAACTTTCACAGAGACTGTCTATATTACATTGCTATTACAACATAGAGAGCCGAAACTTTCTTGTACAGATTTGGAAGGGAATCCCTAAAAAGAAACCAAGCACATAGAGGTAGTTGAATAGCAATATGGTGGGAGGAAAGAGCATTATCTTAACTGCCCTTCAGTTCTTTACAGTGCAAACAAATAAAATGGTTGCTCAACACCAAACACACATATACACTTGCCACGTGTAAGTGGCTCACTTGGATATTTTAATCCGGGCATTTACTGGGAATTGCATACAATGGTGGAAGTACATTATTTTTTGCGGTGCTGGGGATGGAACCCCACTTGAGCCACACCCCAGCTCTTTTTGCTTTTCCTTCTATCTTGTTTTTATTTACTATCATTGCTTTAACAATAGAAAAATGTCAATTGACTTTGAAAGTGATGCATAAGCTACAGTGTTGCTTTGTAAACTTCTGTTAATCATTTTGGCTGCTGCAAACAGTTTTTAAATGCTACAAAGCAAAAGCTTTAAAGTGACACCAGGAACACAGATTACAGGCACTTCTCTCTGGAGGTTAATTTAGTATGTTCACAAATACCCACTTGTAAGTGAAAATGTCTTCATTTCATCTCTGGATGTGCACAGTGCAGACTACTAAATGGCTGAACAGTGTAATAAGTGGGAGCTATCATTCTAGAATGAATTGAATACATATATTTCTTATTGCTCCTTTCCTTCCTTCTGTCTCAACTCTGGGAAGGGGCACAAAGTGAAGCCCATTCAGTGACTTCTTTTCAGAGCTGTCTTTAAGCTGGAATCAAAAGCTCATTCTGCTTCCCAAGAACAGGTTGATAGCCTGCTCTTTTCCAGTATTTGGGCTGCCTTCTCTTTGCATCTCTGCCACACCTCTCCTCTGATTCTGCCTTGATGAGTGGAAATGGGTGTAAAGTCAACAAGTGGAGAACTCAAGGAATGAGTCCCTGAGGAAAACACTCATCTTGGAAATGGAGTAGGCATGGGGAACAAAGACCCCAGTGGCTGGCAGCCCATCCACAGTGTGCAACCTGTTGACAGTGAGAGACCTCTGGGTGCTGTGACCCCAGTTCAGGAGCTCCGCCGCTCCCATGGCCAGTCACAGGGGATTATCGGAGCCGAGGCCAGCTCCACAGAAAGAGCAGGAAGTGCCACATGTACCATGTTTTGACCCTTGACCCTGCTGCTGAGGCAGCACTGAGCTGGAAGCAGTCGGCCTTCAGAAAAGGCAAGCTGTTGACATGGTTTTCTATTCCCCTAAGTCGGGGCACATGCTCTTTTCTCCAAGATGTTCACAAAAGATTAGTTTCTTCATTTTTCACTTTCTACATTTTGCTGGTTATTAGGTAGCAGCAGTAGTACGGTACAAAGCAGAAAGGCATGATGTCTGCTTGCTACCTATTATATGTATGTGTGTGTGCATATGCACACATAACTTGACATATATACATACAGAAAAGTACCTGCTAGGAAAGGACTGGATCAATCACAAGACAGGAAAACTAACCTAAAAAGTGGTACTATCTACCAAGGGGGAAATCTTGTCCTTCTGGCCTAGATTTACCTTAATGTCTTCTCTATATATACTCTTCATTTATGAGCCTGGCAGCAAAACCAAATTCCAAGTGGTAAAAATGGTTGAGTCCAACTCATTATCCCACTCCAATACATCCCAAAGAAAGCCAAGGCTTTTTAGCCTTGCATCCTGCCTCTTGCCATCACTGAAACATAAGCTTATTGCAAACCAACCCAAATATGGATCCAGGCTATTGAGAATAAGGTGCAATTCTGCCCAGGCAAGATCCACATTTTCTGGAGTTAGGCATACTCTTGTATCAAGGTGAAGTCTATGAAAAGAAATCAAGCATCGTTTTTGACTTAGGTTAAGTAGAGATGTGCTTGGCAACTTAATTTTACTTGACCTGCAACTTCCTATTTTGAGTTTCTGGGGTGCTTCTGTGATTTGCCTCTTACATAAAAGTATGTGTAACACAAACTATTTAAAATGTTAAAAATCTGGAAAGTCATGGGTTCAAAATCAGGCTTGGTCACTCACTGGGTGACCGTGTTACCTGGTCAACCCTCAGTTTTCTCATCTATAATATGGGGGTAAAAATGCTCTCTGAGAAATAAATGATTTCATGAGCTCAGGTATTACTTAGCTCAGTACCCAGTACATGATAAGCTTTTATTATATTGTTGTTGAGTTTGTTCTTTGGGGCAGTATAAAGAAATACTATGAACTAAGCAAAAAAGTCATAGATTGTAAAAGCCAATTACCCTGGCATGGGTGAGATTCTCAACACACTTTGGAGAACAAGGATTAATGACGGCTATTCTAATGGAGCTGGAACCTAAGGCTTCCATTCGATCAGCAGTTCCAGACCTCCAAGTAACACTATTTCTTCACCCTTATTGAAATGAAAAAAAAAATGTTTGCTGGCATGGGATTCATTCTTATCTCTGACCCTTATTTTGTTCTTCAATGGTCTTAACCCCAAAAAGAAATACCTGTAAACCATCGCTATGGTCCAAAAATTAGTGGTACAGATTCCTCCAACCAAGTTGAAAGGGGTTGCAAGTGGGTACTGCATGTATAGGTGGTGTATTATGCAAATATAATGATGGCAAATCTAACAATGGGAGACAGTGCTCAATGTCTCCCGTCAAGGCACTGTGTTGAGTGAGGCTTTCTGACATATTTCATGCTCCTACCAACCCTATATGCCGATTTATCCCCACCATTTCATAGATGAGGAAACTGGGGTGCCACAAAAGTTAAATCACTTGTCAAAGTAACACATTTAGTAAGTGGAGAAGCTTATGACCCTTTCTTTGTTGGGTTTACATTAGAGTATAGGAAACCACTGTAGTAGGACTATGGTCTGACAATGTGGTTAGGCATCAGGCAGGAGTGGGACGCCTCTAATTTCCTGCTCCTGAGCCTTGTACAGTTTTCTGGGGCAGTAACCATGCCTATACTTCCATTTCATCTTCTTGCATTCTCCACCAGCCCTGTCTACTCCAGACTTCAAACCTGGTAACAATGCTCTGACAATAGCATCCACTAAGCAAGAAGCATTTGGCTTTTGCTCACATGAGTCTCTTTTATATTATTTGGATCATCTCATCCCCCCCTTGCCTGTTTCTGGCCACAGATGGTGACAGAAGTCAGGGTGATCACTTAGAGCATGACCCTCTCACCTACACAGAGGGGCCAGGCTGTATGTGAATAATACACTGCAGCTGTCCACAATCCGTGGGGGGCAATTTGTATAAAGGTACGATTGTAACAATTCACTTCTTCCCAGCCCCAACCTTTTCACTCTGTCATTATAACTTCCATATTCAGAGGATTTCTCAAGTCTTCTGACACCAAAGGAATCAACTCAACCCTAAGCAAGCTAAATAATGACTGCTTGCTCTTACCTCCTCTTCTTCCCCTACATTGAAATCTTTGGCCCATTCCAACTAGGAGGAAAGGCAGTGTTTACATTAAAATCATAGATTAGTTGGTTCTTTTAAGAATATCTTTTAAAAGATTTTTTAATCTTACCTGGCTTCTGTACACTTTTAAAAATGAAGAGTCCTTCAAATGTTTCAGCATGTTCTAGTCCAGATCTTGGACCCTGAGAAAAGGTGGAGTATGCGGGCTAGTTTAGAATGGCTGTGATGTACCAAATTGAAAGCCATGCTCTGTAAAAGATTAAATAGTATCCCACCTAAAATTCTATTCTCAATTGTACTGGGGAGAAATTAATACACTTCTAATTAGATTACAGAAATAAATGTCTATAGTAGGCTGTAATAAAGGACACTCTTTTGATTCACCTTTTTGTTCTAGCCTTATTCTACAACACATACAGAAAATGGGTTATTTTACTTTACCCTGGCATATACCATAATCTCTGTCACATCACTTAACTATTTAATGATGCTTAATTCAAACTGAAAACATGAAATCTGTGAAAATGATGATCTTAGTATCATTCTGAAATTTTAAAAAAATATACACCAGGAGAGCTGTGGAAATGGTCCAAGAGCTGGGATCAATGAGGAAAACCAAAAGCACATTTCTAGCATCATTACTCCCCCTAGGTACCTGGTAAACCACATCAATAAATAAAGCAACAGGCTCTTCAGTAATGTACACTTAAATAGTTACAAATGCACATGTAGAAAAAGGATACAGTAGTGCAAAAAATAAATTATTAAAACACAAAGAAGTATGAACATTATTGAACACAATGCTCTATAAAACCTGAACCATTTGGAATGAGACCTCAAGTCAGTGAAACAATGCAGCAACGTTGTTACTATCTTCACATTTCAACCACACAGTCATTCATCTATGAAAGAAAAAAAAGTTAAAGCAAAATAACTTTAAAGTTTCAGAAATTTGTATGTTAAAACAATTTTTCCTGGGTTCTTAAACACCTCTGCCGTTCGTGTAGTTGTGCAGCATGTCCCAAAACATCTTAAGACAGAAAGTTTCAAGCAGGTCACATTCTTTTGGTCTTTCTACGCGATTTCGGTGTAATCAAAAGTAGGGTAACACCTCTGTTTGACACCCCTTCTGTTAGGATGTTATTGCAATTAGATGTATGTACAAGAAAATCCCCCTAGAGTAGCAGGGAAGGTGGGAGCTCCTCTTCAGCAATCCAATGTCACTAATTTTGGTTTCGGGATATAAAGGCCAGGATTCGCCGAATACCATTCAGTCTATCCTTCAAGGACCTCATTGCCAGGAATGGGAGCTGAGCTCGGCTTTCCAAGGGAAGCACAGCTAATATCCACCAGCACCAGGCTGGACCATTCGGATTAATCTGCAATAGAGAAACACAATGGGTTCATCGTATTCCCAAGCAAGCTGTCATCAGTGAACAGACTTGCAAATGCCCAAAGTAAACTTCCCAGATGCAACTGTTTCTGTATGTGGCAGAGACTGCTAATTTCTTCCACATCTATTTTATTTCCCATTTATTTTAGTGGGGCATATAGTACCCTGGGCTTGGAGGAGACTACATTTCTCAGCCTCCCTGGTAGCGGGCTGTGGTCATAAGACACAGTTCTGGTCAACGAGAGGTAAATGGAAGTGACATGAGTAGCTTCCAGGTCACGTGAGAAAGGAGCACGCACCCTCTGCCTTCCTCTTTTTTCCCCTCTCCTCCAGCTAGACTGTGGACAAGGGAGGATCAGCCTTCTTCAAAGGCAACATTCTAACAATGGTAGAGTTTTGTGAGGAAGGAGTCTGGGTCCACCAATGCTTCCGTGGAATAGAATGGTGCTACCTCTCCAGGACTGAGGACCTCTATTGCATTTGAAGGGATTTACCCAAGGTCATTTTGGTACTTGATAAAGCAAACAAACCAACATTCTTACAAACACACCATGCCTCCAAGCCAGTGTAATTTTTTGAGCTGGAATACTCACTATTTAGTCTCTTTCATTTCTTTTTTGTTGTTGTTGGTACTGTTGTTGTTGTTTGAACTCAGGGCCCTTTTTTGTATGGGATATTTTTGAGATAGGGTCGCAAGAACTATTTGCCAGGGCTGGCTTTGAACCACAATCCCCCTGATTTCTGCCTCCTGAGTAACTAGGATTACAGGCATAAGCCACTGGTGCTGGGCTTTTCTCCCACTTCTAAGATTCTGTTTAGATTCTTTGGATCAATAATGCACAATGCATATAACATGCAGGTCTTTGATTCCCATGACTCCTTGGGCCTGGCATATCTTTTAACTCTCTTTATTTTCTTGCATTGGCTGAAGGTGATAGCCTACATATACCATGTCACTATATAGGCCCACAGCTATCTTCTCCCCTGACACCAAGGGCTATGATTTACAGTCTCAAAGAACAGCAACCCCACTTTGCAAAAATTGCAATTAGAAAACACATTCACGTTAGCCTCCATGTTTCCCTTTAATAAAGAACCTTCTTATCCCTTATCAATCCTTCAGTTTTTCACAGAAAAAAATCTGGTTTTCATCAGCTTCAGAATACACATTTTAACAACTTGTTTTTACTAAACCTCAATGAGTTTTCTTCCCACAACTTTCATAAAGTTGGTTTTAGGACTATAGAGAGCCACGTTCTGGTCAAACCCCCTAAATCTGGGATTATTTGGCTCCAAATTGTTTCATCTGATTCTGCCCAAATGTTGCTGCCCTCTGCTTCTCTGTGCCTCCTAGCTTTATCTTAATTCTTTTTTGACCCTCATTGCAGTCTACAACATGCTCTCTGTTGTGGATATCGGATTGACATTCTAAACTTTCTCTCCCAAGATCATCAACAGATATTTAAGCTGATGTTAATACTTGTGGTGGTTTCTAAGAAAACTCCTTGGGCTTAGAACATTCTTATTTATGGGACTGCTGTGGCTACAGCTGTGGTCACAGAAAACTGGAGGGGTTGTTGTTTACCTCTGGTGCTGCCACTGCTAATGAAACATGATAACAAAATTAATACGAGAGGAAATGAAACCCAAGGGTTCAGCTTGCTGTGTCATTGAGCCTTTATGAATCACACTGTGGCGTATGTGTTTTCTCCCATGGAAGATGAGGTTAGCACTGGTGATCTCTCTTTTGCCTGACTGGGGAGACTGCTTCAGCAGGTGAAGGAGAACATTAAGGTTGATCATGAATTTGCTCAGAGTGATGCTGTAATCCTGAATCACCATGGCCCAGAGCCAAGAGCCAGGTCTCTCTCCCTTCCAAACTCATGATGCCTTTGCAGAGGGAAAAGGAAAATGTTTCAGCCCATTAGGGAACAAACAGGTGTTTTGAAGCCTCAGAATGCAAGAGGAAGAGAAGACTTTGGAGACTTCCTCTTCCACCTCTCTCACTTCAGAAAAAGTTGAGAAAGGAGAAGGGATTTACCCAAGGTCATGCTGCTAGAAAGGTAAGCAGGACCAGGGTTTAGATTTTCCTATTGTGACAGAGTCAGGGATAAGCATTAGTGAAAAATCAGAGAAGTCCCAAGAGTGATCCTATGAGAGATCCAGCTCAGAGCATGGGGAAGGTGGTGGTAAGGAAATATTTGATTAGGGTATCTCCAGCCTTGCTCTAGGAAAGGAGTATTCCCAGAACTGGACTTCCCTGAAAGTATTCCTTGATTTAAACCAGGCAAGCAAAGCTTGGTGAAATGGGCTAGTGGAATGGCTCAAGTGGTACAGCATATACCTAGCAAGCAAGCCCTGAGTTCAAACCCCAGAACCCCCCCACCCCACGGAAAAAAAAAAAACTCTGTGAAACTGAACTCTCTCCATTCTCCACTTTCTTGGAGCGCTTCTGACCTGTAGCTTGAGATCACAAATGGACCTGAACCCCAGGAAGAAGACCCATCTGGTAGAACCAAATGAACTATTTTCTGGTATAACTCAGTCAAGGGTGCATTCAAAGATGGGAGTTACTTTCTCAGGACCTGTTCATCCTGATGAGGACAATGGTGATGGTGGAGACCTGCATGGCTAAGCATGGATGGCCTGGGTGGGTGAAGTTTGGGTGGCCTTGCAGATGGAATACTGTCTAGCTCCTGCAGCAATGGAGGAGGGGTTATGAAGCTCCCCAGAAGTGGCAGCCTTTGGCCCCAACTCTCTTAAGCCCTGGGTTTTGCAAGGATCTTGTCACCCTTACATTACTGTGGTGTGAATTCCCACTGAAGGTGGGTCTCTGTTGGTGGTGTCTATGTTTACATTTTTTTTTCACCTCATTGAACTCTCAACACCTGTCTTAGATCTGCATCCCTGCTCTTTACCTTAGTTTCCCAATTCTGACTTGGGATTCTTTTGGTCTTACTTGTGATGCTTACTGCCCAGCCAAACAATATCAAATTGGATCTATCTTCCTCTCTGTACTTGATATGCTGGAGGGCAACCACATACCGTCCAATCACAAACCCTAGGCACTCACATCTGGTAGGAGATAGACATTTATAAGTGTTATAAATAGACATTTTTATATACCTGGGGATCGGCATCTTTCTCTGGCATTGGACCAAAGTGATTGAGTATCCTATTCTTCAGAGATGGTTTGAGTGAATGAAACCATGATGACGCTTGCCCATAGACACAGTTATGTAATCCCATGAGCTCAGCACAATCCTGTCCCTGAACCTGCAAGTATCAAAGTAGAAGTGAAACATCGTGTACCTTCTCCACCCTTCCCAGAGTTGCTTTTGACACCTGATTCTTGAGCATCCATCCTGCCTTCCTATGGGAAACTCACTCAGTCAGCTTTCTCCTGTGTGAGATGTGGAACATTCCACAACCAAGTGTTGGGTTATATGTAAATAAAGGGGGGTTGGGGGGGATGGGAAGAGAAGGAAGAGGAGGAGAAAGGTTCAGCTGGGGAGAGTAGCTGAGACAGTAAAAGACTCAAACCAGCCTGAGTGGAGGCATGTGATTATAGCAGGTCATCTTGGTTTATGCCTCTGCCCTTTTCATTTTCACATCGAGTTTTCCATTGTTTGCTGGGAAGACAGACATGAATATATCTGTGCTCAGTGTGTAACTACCTTCAAAGTCAAATACATTTATTTGTTAATCAACTATTTACTAATCTACTACATAGTAAATGTAAACATAGATGAACATGGGATTATTGACCTCTTTTTCCACCCATTAGCTCAGACAACCAAGTATTAATTGGACATGTTATCTTTCTGCTTTAGAGGATAATGGATGACTCTGCTTTAGGGGAAGGGCTCAGACAGGTAGCACATTTAAAAATACAAATGCACGTATGAATCTATAATGATCTCAAAGGAAACAAGTTAGAAGATATAAATAAATAAATTGATAGATTAAAAAACACACGTGTAGCCCCACTATAGATCTAGCCCTTGGTATCCCCGGCAGAGACCTAACTCTTAGGCTGAATGGGTCCCAGGATTGGTCTGGGGTAGCATTTCTTATGTATGACTGCAACCCAGTAGCTAAGCGAGGACAGTGAAGACAATGTCAATTCTGCAATTGGGTAGCAATCGAGCAGCATTCAATGTTTCTGCAACAATTTGGTGAGGTATCCACAGCCCCCAAGACAGTTCTGAGAAATCCTTTGTAATCATCTTTGTATGCTAAGTTACAGGGATAGCCTGACTTTAGGATTCTTGACACTGGCCATCCTTACCTTTTGATCTTCAATGTACTCTATATCAGCTGTGTTGTAGCCATCCCTCTGGCCCTGATGGAGCACCTTAAAGCGTCTTTTGCCTATGCTGTCAACCACTGAGCGGCCATCGGAAAAGAATTGAACATTTCTGATCTCTAGGATGCAGCCATATTCTGCAAACCTGTAGGTTGAGAATGAAGTTAAGAAATTAAATCTTGGTGAGTTCTAGTTACGTAGACTGGACCCCAGCCATTTCTGTAACCCAGTGCTGTGCATCAAGGGACTTTGACGTATTTTGCAACTATATAACAGGCAATACCTATGTCAAAAAATCTAAATGTAGAGGTGTGGCTGCTACCATTTGTTGAACACATACCATGTGTATGTTGGTACATACAGTGCTATGGTTTGTCCCCCTTGAAGCTCATGTTGAAATTTAATTGCCATTGTAACACTATTAAGAGGTGGAACCTTTAGGAGGCAACTAGGTCACAAGGGCTCTGCCCCTCATGAATGAAATGCTATTATTCCAGAGGTGCGTACATTATAGATGGGAAGGTTGGTCCCTGTTCCTCTTTTACATCCTTTCTTTGCCCTTATACCATGTTAAGATCCAGCAAGAAGGCATTGTCAAGTCAGGGGTGATGGTACACACCTGTAACCCCAGCTACTTGGTGGGGCTAAGGCAAGGGAATTGCAAGTTTCAGGCTAGCCTGGCAACTTTGTGAAACCCTGTTTCAAAATAAAATAAGATGAGGCTAGAGATACAGCTCTGTGGTAGAGTGTTTGCCTAGCATGCATGAGGCCCTAGGTTTAATCCCCAGTACAAAATAATAAAAGGCCCTGTCAGATGCTGGCACCTTGATCTTGGATTTCTCTGTATCCAGAATCATGAGAAATAAATTTCCATTGCTCATAAATTACTCAGTCTATGGTATTCTATTACAGCATCCAAAAATAGACTCGGCCAAGCCAGGCACTGAGCTCAGTGCTTTATGTGCATTATTAACTCATCAATCCTCCCAACGAACAAACCCAATGAAGTAGGCACTATCACTATCCACTGATCTACAAGGAAATGGGATACTGAAAGGTTAAGTAACTTACCCAAAGTCCAACTTGTTCCAAGACTGGAACTAGAATACGAACCTAGGCAGTTGGACTCCATGGCCCATACTCTTATAAAACAAGTTTTATAATATTTATCTAATCTATGTAACAAAAGATTGATTCTGTGGTTCTTTTAAATAGGCAGCTTCTTATGCAGTAAACTAAGCATCAGAGGGACCACGATTCTTACAAATGCCCTTGTTTTGAGCTGGGAAACCCTCATGAGCTAGGTTTCTGCACCTCTGGAAGCACCCCCCAAAAATCCCTCTCCTCCCAATATCCAGTTACTCCCAGAGCTCCTCACTTACCCTTTCACAGGATCTCCAAGGCACATGCCAAACTGTCTTGTGCCTGTCTCAATGCATCTACGAATCATCAGGCGGTAACAAGGCTCAAAGATGTGCAGGGGACAAGGAACTGTGGGATAGGCCATGGTACACACGAAAATAGGCACGTTCTTATTTAAGCTGTCAAGAAGAGCAAATAAAATGAATCTCAAAGCAATGGGGATGGAACACAAAAAGGCTGGCCAAATGTAATCACATAGTTCCCAGGGGAAGGCAAGGAGTTATCACATTTTAATGACAGACAGAAAAATACTGAAATGTGACTGATGCTATGGGCTGATTGCCATTATCTTGTGCAGAGGTTAGTCTAAGGTCCAGGAGATTAAAACTGGCATTGCACACATTCTAATTTAGCTGGAAAGTTCTCTACTACCTTAACATTGTAGGTGATAGCTACACTGCAAATTCTTTTCCATCTCTCTACTCAAAACGATCCCTACCGTGGGGTGCCAGTGGCTCACGCCTGTAATCCTAGCTACTTGGGAGACTGAGATCTGGAGGATTGCAGTTCAAGGCCACATTAGACAAATAGCTCATGAGACCCTATCTCCAAAAGAGTAACCAGAGCAAAATGGACTGGAAGTGTGGCTCAAGTGGTGGAGTGTTTGCTTTGCAAGCACAGAGCCCTGAGTTCAAACCCCAGTCCCACCAATAAATAAATAAAGATGTAAGTAAATAAATAAACCAAAAAGCAAAAATGATCCCTTCAGGTATTTTTCTGGCAGTATGAGGAAGGGTACTGATGATATAAGTGCACCTGGATTTCCAGAAGGGCAGAGAAATTCTCTTTAAGGTCCTCATGCACATCTCAAATTTGCAAAGTGTCTCAGGGAATGTGCAGAGCAGGGCCAATGAGCAGGAAGAGTGGCCAAGAGACCTTCAAGAGTAATCTAGGCTGGGGGTGTGGCTCAAGTGGTCAAGACCTGCCCAGTAAGTATGAGGCCCTGAGTTCAAACCCCAGTTTTGCCAAAGGGGACAAAAAAAGTAATCTAGTCCAATGATGCTCAAATTCTCCTGTGCATCACAGCAACTGAGGACCTTAAATCCTGATGACCAGGCCATCACACTGCCAGAGATACTGATGCATTAGTTCTGGAATTGGGACCCAGAAATTTGCTTTTCAACAAGTAGCCTGAAAGACTCCAACACATGCCCCACTGGGGAACCTCTGGCTGGGCCAGTTCCTCCTGTGCTCTTATTTGTCTAGTAAATCCAATGCAGAGACATCTGTACCTCAACCTACCATTTGCCCAAACCTTAAAAGGATTAGGTTTGTGATTCCTTTAAATAGAAAGCCCCCAAATATATTCCAGTATTTATTTATAAGACCTTAATAAGTGATACTGGAGAAAAGGGCTCAGAGAGGATCAAGGCTAACTGAAGAATGAGAAAAAAAGGTAAAAGATGTCCTGAGTAGTTCCAATGTAAGTAATTGAGAAAAATATATTTCTAATTTCTGAGGAAAACATTATTCAAAGTAAGAGATACATTCATACAAACTGGTGTTAGAGTTTAGAATTGTTCTGTATGGGGTGGGCTTAAAATCAGAACAGTGTTTTGCCATCAAGAAGCTCTCGTCCTGAATGCTGTAAGGATTTTCTGGGGATGGGGAGAGGGGAGGGCAGAAGTCAGAGGGGCGGAGACTAGTAATTACTTCCTGCTTTTTCTGCTAAGTGAACAGGCAGAGAGCCTGGAACCTCACTTACATCTCCATCCTTGCCTCTCACATGACCTGTGTGTGGCAGAGGAAGCATATAACATCAGTGCTGTCACCATTTATTAAGTGCTTACTATGCACCAGCTCATAGGATCTTCATAACAAGTCCGAAATCTATTATTATTTCCAAGTTACAGGCAAGGAAACAAGGCCCAGAAAGCGATCTGCCTAGGGTTATGAAGCATACTCACTTTGTGACAGAATTGGGTCTATAGCCCAGGTGTGGCTGGCATCAGAGCTCTTAATCTCCCAGCAGCTTCTTATGTATTTGAAGACAGTCCTCTGGACACTTCAGGAGTTCACCTAATTAAGCTATTCCAATTCACTTCTGCCAGAAGCACCTTATTACTAGTGCCAAGATGTGCCCTGTTCAGTGGTTTGGTTTATGCTTCTTCAGTGGTGTGCTGGTAAATGTTTAACAGCTGGTTTTCAGGCAGAGGGGAAAGCCCTGGTGTGTAGCATTCACTAATTTCTATGGTGTAAATACTCCCATCATGGCCACTTTCAAGCTACCAACATGACATCCCTGGAAAGAACTGTTGCACATTCAGCTTTCATGAGCTGGTGTGGATGAAACTGAATATAGAAACAAGCACATACATACTTAGAAAGTTCTTCCATTTCCTCTTCATATAGCCTCCTTCGTTCTTTGAGTTCTTCTGGCAGAAATTTAGCTATTAGCTCTTCCATGATTACATTTTTGCTATATTTTCTTGATGCCAAGCACTGTAGGGGGAATAAGGCGATTAGATACTATGCTGTCCTGAGAAACACACAAAGGGCTTCAGATGCCATCAGTAGAATAGTCAAGTGATGCACATATTGGAGTAATTTCAACACATAATTTAGCAGCAGATATTATCATAATATATGTGTTCTCTGGATGTTTGAGCTTAGAGTTTTTAAAAACATGCCCTTGATTACCTTTATAATTAGGAAAATATTTTAACCAGGGGAAAAACTTGCACTAAAGTTTTAAAAATCCCATCCACTTTGTAAAACACTGAAATTCAGGTCATTTTCTTGTCAAAAATAAAATAAAGAATCCCCCCTTTCATTTTTCTGTTTATTGTGTTTACAAGGTCACAGAAATGGTCTTATCTGGGTGTGCTGAAAGTCAGTAGTTCAAGTTTAGGGAACTAAAAAGTCATGTTCATTGACCTTTTCCTGTCATGTCCTACCAAACTCCAATGATTGGCTTCTGGATATCTTTTCAAGCCTATATATTTTGTTCTAACTTTATTAAAAACATACACAGCTAAATACTGGTGATTTTGTTCATTTGCATTTTTAATATACCATCTAGGTATCACTGATGATATGTTAAAAGTCATAATTTCAGAAGCAAACTCAGGCTCAATGGTCACTATTAGTCTCCTCCCAAACACCAGTACCCCATGTATATCTAAGAATCTTCAAGGAGTGTGTATTTCATGGCCTGAACCAAATAATAGATGCTTTATTGGTGAATTGCTTACTGTCTTGTAAGGGAACTACCCTTACAAGACCAGCAGGGGGAGCGCCTGAGTACAAAACTGCTGGCAATAGACAATTTTATTTTTCTCTATTCTGTAATGAACATGACTGGAATATTTATCTGTGTAAAATGGTGTAAGTGTGGTTCTGTGTGAATAGCACCTGAGTCCACAATGCCACAGTGTCTGCCCTCTGAATGCCTTATCAGCCACCACCATTGCCTGGCCACAGGAGGACAAACTGCATTTTCCAGTCCCAGTCATTGGGCAGAAAGCAGGAGGTGGCCAATTCAAGAAATGGATGATCCATGTAGTAAAACTAAAACAAAACTCCAGGAAGGGCACATCCAAAAACTGTAATGCTGGTTTTCTCTTGATGTTGAGCATATGGGTGAACTTTTCTTCTTTCTGTTTATCTGAAATTTATAGTATTATCACAACAAAATAATTATATTTAAATGTGTTACTATTTAAATATAAGGTTCATAGAATTCTCATTTATAATCAGGCCAGCAAATCCCACCCCTCCATCTGATGAAACATATGACTTTGACCATTTCCCCAATCCCAGTACACACCTCAAGGTAACCAGGGGTGATTATTTCACTCTGTTCTCTTAGTGTAAATGTTGAGCTTTTGTGAAATCTCAACATGTAAATTCTCAACATGTGACCTCCAGTCACCTAGAGATAGTCTCTCTCTCTCTTTTTTTTTTTTTTTGATACTGGGTCTTGCTATGTAGCCCAAGCTGGCCTCAAAGTTGAGATTCTCCTGCCTCAGACTCTCAAGTGCTAGGAATATAGTCATGTACCACCATGCACAGCCCCAGAGACAGCCTTGTTTCTCCAACCTCTCCTCATGAAGAATAGGGATCAAGGAACATTAATACTGGCTGTAAAATGTAATCCATAAGTCCCCAAGGGAGGGAAATGAAGACAGATTCCTGAGTGTTCTTTTGCTACAGAAAATTCCACAAGGTCCACTTGAAAAACAAAGGTGGGAGTTTGTGTGATCAGTTTTTGAGAACTTGGAAGCCCCAGAACTTCACAAGTAGCCCAGTATCTCCTAATAAGTACAGTGGTTCCTGAGGGGTTGGACAAAGATAACATTAAGGATCTGTGAGGTTTTGGGGGGACCCTGGAAGGTAATTTCTTCAAAACATATAATAAACAATGTTGATAAGATGACATCAGAGCAATCTAGTCACAGGTTAGAAAGTTCAAGATATCTACCCAAGATTACAGTCTATCATGTGCCACGATGGGATTAGAACCAGGATCCATCTTTATCATCCATTTAATACTTTTGTTTCCAATGCAAAATAATTTCCTTCCTGACAGTTCATAAAAAACTATATGTTCCCTCATTTTCCTGAAGGACTTTGAGAAGAGGGAAAGGATGCCTAGGCATCAGGAGACAAGGAGGATATGAGGGTACATTTTGCTTTTATAATAGTACACTGGTTTGGGATCCAACTGAACACTATTTTAATACCCAATTCTTAATGAGCTAACTCAACTAAGAAAGAAATATTGGATTACCTGTGAAAGACCGTCTTTGCACAATGGACACTTTGCATTGTGATCTAGGCATCTCTCCAGACATTTTAAGCAAAATGTGTGTCCGCAAGGTGTCGTGACTGGCTCATAAAATAATCTGAAATTTAGAAATCAAAATGGAGGAAAATTATAATAAGACCAAAAATAAAAGACAGAGGTACCTACAATTAAGGTTTTATAGAATTACTTGGAAAATCTGTGTGTGGGGAGAATTCTTTTTGTTTTTAATCACTACTATCATTGCACTTCAGAAAAGTGTTGCTTTTCATTTCTGAGCCAGATTTTAAATAATGCATCTCTTAAAGTTTAGGGCATAGCTAGATCATTTTGTAACATTACTTCCAGTCTTTTTCTTCTGGGGCATCCGATGTTTTCCCTGTCTGGTCCAAGAAAACTAGAGATTAGTGCCCAGAGTACCAGAATAGATTCCATTCTAAAAATACATAGCCAACCTGTTCACACACACACACACACACACACACAGACACACACCTAAACATCATTTTACCATGGAAAAAACATGGTTTGTTACCTCGAATCTTTTTTTTTTTTCACCTAAGCAACATTTACTGCCTGGAGATCTTGAAATAGCAACTGTAACGAACATGTAACTGCCTTTGTATGGATGTAGAGTAGTATTGTTAATGTACTAGATAAATAGATAAATAGAGGTCCATATGGAGATATGTTGATCTATACACACATACAATATGTATTTGTGCATATGCTGTACTTCAATTAGATACTTCAGCTGTTTGGGAAAGCAGGATATTTTCAAAGCAATCTGGGAATCCTTTATTAAAGCTGTTCTGCACCTTCAGAGATTCATGGATTTACTTTCGATAAAGAGAGGCTCACCTGCAGCAGGACCCGTGGGCAGAAGCAACTGAACACCATTAAGAAGTGGGGCTAGCACTCACGGAAAAATGAGCTCAGAAAGATGGAGAACCTTATTTGACCTCTCAAGACTCTTCAATTGAAAGGAAGAGGCCGGCAGCTGCATAGCTCCCTTGTGTGGCCAGAAGGTGAACCAGCAGCCAGGCTCGCACTGCCAGGCTGAGTATAAGGATCAAAATGTCCTAGCTGAAAAGTAGTTGAGGAGAAACTGAACCCACTAGGTAGAATGAAACTGAGGTCCAGAAGGGGTGAAGTCGCTTGTCTAAGTGTACACAGACAAGTTTTCTATAACTTTCACTTCTGGTCGTGTGCCATTGCTGTACATCAAAATCCCCTGGGGAGCTTTCTCTTCACATGGCTGTACTGATACGTAATTAGCATATGATATACTAAACAGACTTGGTAAAATTTGATATATGCACACACCCATGAAACCACCATCACAATATTTCCCTCACCCCATCTCAATTGACCCCCGAATCAACTAGGGAGCTTTCAAAAACTCCAAATGCCTGGCACTGCACTTAGGAAGAACCAGATCAGTAGACCCCAGTAGCCAGACCAAACATCAGGATTTTTAAAGCCCCTCTGGGTGGTTTTAATGTGCAACCAAGGTTAGGAATCATGGAACTACATAATCTTACCATTTCTGCATAGACCAACCTCTGTGTTGGTTTTCAAATATAAGTATCAAAGTAACCTATGGAGCTTTAAAAACATACATGCAGAGACGCTCCGCTGGTTACAGTTCCAGAATTATCAGGTCAATGGGGGAGGAGCATGGAGTTGATATTTTTAACAAGCCCATGAAGGTCTGGAATAGAAGAAAGGCCTTTCATATATTCATTTTTCTATACTTCTTAAATTTTACAATTTTATTTAAAAGGTAGCTAATTTGTCTAATAGCATTAATAAATTTTCATTGTTAAATTGGCCAAAATGTAAAGTTTCAAAAAGAAAACCTCTTTATGATGGACATCTTAACCAGTACACTAAGGCAAGAAGACTAAAGCATGAGAATTGGAAAGGAAAAAAAACCAAACCTTTCATGACATACCAACGGTATTATGGTGAATAGTAAATTTAGAAAACAAAAGAATCTAAAGAATGATTGTCACAGTTAAGAATTAAATGAATTAGTGAGATTGCTAGGTAAATATACATAACCACAGTTATAGTTTTACATATTAGCAATAAATATTAGAAAATATTTTTACAGACATTTACACCAGCTTTTAAAAATGAAGTACCCAGCAATAAATCTAACAGTTATGTGAGAAAAACTATAAACACCTCATTGAAAGAAAGTAAAGACGACCTCGTAAGTTCCAATAAAATTCCCAATGGGTTATTTCATTTATTTGCTTGTTTATTTCTGTGGCAGTTGCAAGTTGATTTCTAAACTTAATAAGGAAATGGCACAGGGCCAATAACCAAGATACATCTGAAGAGCAAGGATGTAAGAGGACTTGCTCCAGCAGACACCAAAAGTAACTGTAAAGCTATGGTGAGTAAAACAGTACATGATTACCACAGGACAAATAGACCTGTCGAATAGAATAGAAAGCCCAAGAATAGACTCAGACACAGAATCTTGACTTATGACAAATATAGCACTTAAAAGCAGGGTTCAGGTAGGATTTTTAATACATATAGAGCATGCTCAATAAATACTATATTGGCTATCCGGGGAAATGAAATTGGATCATCTGTCACATTACATGTAAAAATCAATTCCATGTGAGTTGTAAAAATAAATGTGAACAGCAAAACAATATAGCTTTCAGAAGATAAAATGGAAGAATAACTTTAGGACATCAAGGTAAAAAATTAACAAAACACAAAGAAATGCCAACTGTGAATGAAAAGATTGGTAATTTTGACTGCATTAAAGTTGAGAAATTTTAAGTTCATCAAAAGATGTCACTAAAAGAGCAAATAGGAAAGCCATATAGTAGGAGAAAGTATCTGCAACACATATGATTAACAAAAGACTTGCATCTAGAACATACCTAAAGCTCCTGCAAGTCTGTAAGAAAAAGAGAACCCAATAGAAAATAGGCAAACAGCGGTGTATGTAAAGACAGTGTTCATATAAATGTTGTCCATATTATCTACAAACTAGAGCCAACCCAAACATCCACCTATAATAGGTAATTAATAAAGAAATTGTGATAGAGTCATACAATGGGATCCTAAGCAATAATTGAAATGAACAAAGTTCATATGCATCTTTCTGAGTAAAAGAAACCAGACTGAAGGAAAACATTCTGGATAATTTAATTTGTATAATTTTTTTAAAAATTAGTCAAAACTATACTTTACCATGGAGAGAAGCATACATAGCTGGTGAAACTATAAAGAGAAGTAAGACAGAAGAAGTCAAGATAGTGGTTTGGGGCTAGGATGGGTGCGGTCCTAATTGAAAGGGGGCATATGGGCAGCTTCTGGGATCCCGGTGATATCTTATTTCTTTAACTGAAGGGTTACATAAGCATCTTCGTTACAATATTTTGTTAAGAGAACACACTATATTTAATGTACTCTGTAATATTTCACAATTCAAAACGTGTTTCACAAGTGTGATTTATGGACTGATTTGGGAACCACTGTGGTGACCAAATCAGCAGAGCAGCAAACCAGAATAGGTTATTTGCCTTAGTAACTTGAATCCTATGCATCTAAACAATTTTGTACATTATTTAATAAGCTAATTAATGAAGAAGATGATTGATGAATCTACAACCAATACATAAAACTATTTTTTCCTGAGAACCTCATGAATGGGCTATTGTTCATTTAAAAATGTATTCTATTAAAATACCAAATACCTAAATATATCAAAATACAATAAAACTAAATAAATTAGCAAAGATGTAGCTATAAATACTGACTTTTAGCGGGCAGATGAGTGGAACGTACACAGACACAATACTTTCTTAGTAAGAACGATTAAAATGTCTCTCAATGAGAGGTAACAGGCAAACATAGTCATAGATGCAGCATAATTATTGCTTTGAGTTAAGTCAAGGTTCAGATGCTTAGAATACATCACTTTTCAAGGCTCAATTCACTTCTATATTCAGGGCTCTTCTGCTACTCTTCACAGGCTATGCAAAGTAGCAGAATATTTCTCATGTTTCTGGATGTGGGCAATACTGTTTTTCAGATAAACTATTTGAATAGATGGTAATTATGACTAGCACAATTGTACTCGTGAGGAAATTAAAACTTAAACAGGTTAAATAACTTGCCCAAGGTCACAAAGCTAGTAGGTAAGCAGAAAGTTTGGGATAGGAAATCAAATCTGACTCCCCAATCTTCCTATGACACCATGTTGACCATGTTGACTATATCTATCACAAATAGATGCCATCCATCTACATGTAGATACACACTTTCCTCCTTCCCTCTTGGTCTCTCTCTCTGTCCTTCCCCCACTCTTTAGAAAGAAACAGCCACAGAGAGATCTTTACCTATAAAGATGTGTACTAGAATTCCTCTCCCTTTTATTTACCACTTCAAGTAAGGATTTCAGGAAACATTTCAGGGAAGCATTTGCAAATCAAAGCAGGGCAAGATTTTCTCAGAAGAAAGCATTTTACATTTTCACTGGGATGGAGTAAACAATGACAATAATAAATGCTTTCAGTTAGATGTCAGCCCAGATAAAAATTTCAGCTTATCTGGAAAGAGCTATCTTTCCCCACCAGTTACATCCTTGTATTGTGTTCTTTTGCTATTAAAGGAGAGCAAAGAAGGAAGGAGAAGAGGCAGGAGGGAGAGGGAAAGGGAGAAAGAAGAATGAACTGACTACCTTGCACCCAGTGACTTGAGTAGCTAAAACTAGGTTAAAAAAGAAAGCTGCTTCTTTCAATTGACAATAAGGTCACTGGGCCATTAGGTAACTGGTTCAAATATCAAACATTCTCACTTCACATCTCAAAATGTCCTTATCACCCCCAAGAGGTAGCCCTAATGGTTAGAGTATCCATTACAGGTAAGTATCAAGAGAATTTTCAGCCATTCGGGATTGTGGGATAGGGTTCTGAGGTATTACAGTTAGGGGCAACTTCCCTCAGCAGAAGTCTCCCAACTTAGTACAGGAGACTGGGACACATTAACTCTTTCTACCCTATCCCTATGAAACTTATGACCCACTCCTGATTTTCTTTCTGGAATCAGAATATACAAATTCACGGTCTAACTTGTCTTTTTACCAATGCAACACCATAGGACTAGATTTAAGCCTAGAAACTTGCACAGATGGTACAAATGTGCAATTTCATGGCCCAGCAGACTGTTGGAGACAGTCTCTACTCTTAGACCCTGTCCCCCAAAGACAAGTGAAGGTAATAACAGAATCTCAAAGTAATTATAACCATAATAAAAAGAAGAAAAACATTAGAGGCAGAAAAATAAACTTTTTAAGCCTGAAAGAATTCAAGCTAATATACACATATGAAATAACCTCTGTCAAAATCTGAGGTCTAACTTCTGGCCAAGGGCTGCAGTTGTAAGAACCTCAGATCAAAAAGGCTCTCTAGACTTGGCAAAAGGTTTCTTATGACCATATAGCAGTGAGTCTGACTATAACTCAGAAGCTTATACAACTGCTACTCTGGGCAAAGATGCATTTGGGGGTGGAAATTTCACTTAGATCAGGGAGACAGGGTAAGGAAAATAATAGTTTTTAAATTCAGAGTGTGCAAACTAGAAGGGGTTCTTATCCTCTTGGTGTTTAGTTCTTGGACCAAATTTCTAATCCTTTTTCAAACCCCCCTGCTGAGATCCGTGATGAGATGAAAGAGAGAAAGTAGAGGAAGAGGAACAAGAGTTCAACTTCAGGATTCTGGTGTCTACAGAGAAAAACAAACAGGATGAGTCTGTATGTTTGATTTTGTGTCATCTGGATGCTGGAAGAGTGTTAAGGAGGGTAAAACAACAAAGACCTGCTCTTTCTGAGCAACCTAAGTTAAGTCTACTTTGCAGGTCACACCATGGGCTTAGTGCCATAGCAGTGGAGGTGGTGGTGTAGTAGCCTCAGGGGCCATTTCTCAGCCTGGAAGTGGGGCTTCTCTGTCTCATACCTTGCCTTTGGCATGATCTGCATGCAACTCTGTTGTGAGGGGAGAGGGAAGTGAAAAGGAGCTGCTTATATAGCCCCTCCCAACCTGGTCCACTCTACCTAAATAAACTCCTGACAGTATACACAAGGCTTGCTTAGACTGCTTCTACGTTCCATCTGTTGAACTGTTCATTATCAGGTGTGCCCAAGCTTCTGAACAAATCTGACCACATAGATTTATTTATTTATTATCATTACCATTATTTTGCAGTGCTGGAGATTGAACCCAGTGTGTCACATGTGCTAGGCTAGTACTCTACTATAGTCCCAACTATAATTTTTCTAAGAGAAAGCAAAAGTCCACATTTCAGGTAATAGTGGCCCTAGTCTTATTCATATGACAAGAAAGATCATTCAGAATACAAAAGCATGCGATTGACAAGAGAGGAATATGTATTTGTAAGGAGGAGGCAAACATCTCAGGGGACTGTGCTGGCTGCATCCACTGTGTGGTAGACCAAAGGACTCTTCTTGACATCTCTTCTTGTTAGCCAACCATCTTAAAAAGTTTGGGGGCAAATAACTCACCTCCTTTTAATGCTGTTCTGGAAAGCAGCCATATTTGAGAATCTACTGAAAGCTATTGACCTTTGTCTTAGAAACACACACACACACACACACACACACACAAACGGAATTTGGTGAATTTCTACATCTAGTAGAAGCCATACACAGAACCTCCTCAGGGGTCTGTTGACCTGACGTTAAGAACCTGTGGTCTAGGAGGGAAAAATATTTAACATTTATTGAGTGCTCACTATATTGCAGGCACTATTCTAGGTACTAATCAGATTTTCTTGATAAATTGCAACAACCCTATGAAGTAGAGTCTACTGTTCTCTATTATATTGATGAGAAAATGGTGGCAGAGAGTGTCACTTGCTCTAGGACAAACAATCCGTAAACAAAAAGACCCAGGTTTTAAACTCTGACTTTGGAGAACTTTCTCTTAGCCACTAAGCCACAGCTGTGAAATGAAACAAATGAAAGTAATTTTTTTTTAATTTTATGTTACTGAGACCATGATCACAGTGTCTTTCTTTTTTTGTAGTGGGGGAATATGAATAATCTGTCTCTCCAGAAAGCTGAGAAAGTAGAGATGATGTGACACTAGTTGGAGAAGAAGTCCTTGACCAAATGTCTCACATCTACAACTAACTGCTGTTCATGGCACAGCATAAAACACAAGCTAGTTAGGCCCTCTACTTGGCTTCCAAAGAGCAGGCCTGTGGCATTGACATTAACCCTTGAGCTTTGAGCTCTTGATCAAGTAGCTAAGCTTACATCTAGGGTCACAATATCTTAAATAGTATAGCTTAAATATCTACAGGGCCCAGAAAAATAATGCAAATGTAAGCCTCAGTGATGGGTGAGGGTAGGATCACGACCAACTGGAAAGTGTATGTCCTGCCTCAGAACATTAACATTTAACAAAAACAAACCCAATGAGGGTCACACAAAAGACACAGCCAACTTGAGAGCCATCAGTTTGTGACCTATGAGTAGACCATTTCCGTGCCATTTTCCAGATCTTTCCAAGTCAGGAATCAAGGATGCAGTCTGTAAGCAGGGGATACAAGGTGACCCACATGACAATGTTGTGACTCTCATTTCATTAGAACCATTCTTTTTTAGTGCTAGCCACTGAGTAGCAGGTCACAAGCAGAAAGATTCAGATACCAGAGAGGAGGAAATATCAGGTACCGATAGCACATGTCACATACCTCATACATAGGGAGCATTCGAGGTCAGATGCGTCAAAAGATGCAAGCGGAATACTGAGAGCAGGCTTGTCCCCCTGCTCTGGGGGAAGATCTGTGATTTAGAGAGCAACAAGTCAGAACTGAACCAACTTTGGCTTCACAGATAATGCTTCTGAGACAAAAAAAAGAAAAAGACAAAAAACCTGTTTTTCAATTTGCCACTCTAGCCACCTCCCTAGGTTTATTTAGTGGTTACCTGAGCCACTGAGAATGTGCTTCCCTGTAGTAGCTCCCAGAGTTTTCCAGCAGCCCCCATAGACAGAGAAATGAAAGCCCAAGAGCTCTGGGGAATTACTCTAATGTACTGGGCACTTCACTCAACAGCAAAAGCAGCAGCAGCTTCATGAATTGAGCCAGGTCTTCAAAGCTGGGACTGAAACTTGGCACTGCCAACCTCTCTTGGAAAGATATGAAGCTGCAGCTGCTGCTTCTCAGGATACGACTGAGTGAGGCCTGATCACACTTCTCCTGTCCTACATTCTTGGAACAGGGATGAGGGCAGAAGAAGTTGACCTGGAAGGAAGTGACACTGTCAAAGACATGAGATGTCATTACTTGATACTGTGCTTGACCTTGGCTTTCCTTGATAATCATCTTCAAGTGCTTACAGTGTACTAGGCATCACGTGTGATCTCCCAGAAACCTCACAGCACCCCCAAGGTCACATATCTGGGAAATGCCAAAGCTGGACCTGGAGCCAGAGGAGCCCTCAGGTAACTGGCATATATCCGTAAGCCCAGTCATCTGCTCCAAGCCATTTTCTCCTAGGATAGAATCAGTACCTTGCTTGGAGGCTTTATTAGGCACCTCGGTGTCTTTTTGGAGTTCAATTTGGCAATGCTTCCTTTTCTTTTCCTGGTGTTTACCAGTCTTGATGGAGGCAGCATTCAGCTTCTCCTCCTCTTCTTCTTCCTGGCCTTTCGTGTTATCTTGTTGATCATCTACCTTTACTTCAGCTGCGTTCACCTGGCTGCTCCTGTCTCCCATGGCTGCTGCTTCCTCCTGACTAGAACAATGCGGGAGCTCTGGATTTTCCTAGAGGAAGAAAGAGCCAAACATCAGAATCTACTTAGGAACAAGATTGTCCTCTGATGTTCTTCCCCAGAAGGGAAAAGAAAAAACAACATAGCACTGATCCTTACTCCTGATCACTTAGTGGGCAAATAGCTCAACTAAGGGGCAGTCATGAGGCTTATTTCCTACTTCCGGTCAGCACGGCATCTGTGACACAGGCATGCCCAGCTTGAGTGGAGTAAGGAAACTTCTCTAGGCAAGGACAACAGGCGTGGAGGAAGAAATACTCCCTGCGCAGTGGGAGGGAGGGAAATGCAAGGGAAACCCCACTCGCCCTCCTATCGGAATCATTTCCCAGTAACCACTTTAAGGCATGCAGTAAGGGTAGCTCCTGTCACTTAATACTTCCTCTCACCCTCACTGCCATTCATAGCCATCTGCAATCCTCAAATTCCAGCTTCAAAAAGACTTTTGGTAAGGCTTTGGCCCAGGTCTGTCTGCAGGGCTGCCAAATCACCTCATGCTCTATATGTCTATGTTACACTGATCAAACAGACAAGGGAAAACCTTGATTAGATTTGGGTGAAAAGTCCAGGAAAAGAGGCAAAATCATTTGGCAAAATGATTGCTATCATCTCTTGCTTTTTAAAGAATTTCTTTGAGGAGGATATTCAAAAACGAATCTAGAAATAAATCCGATGAAGTGTTTATGCAGATTTACCCGGAGAACCTTTCTACAATCTAAATCTATAGTCCACAGGTCAAAACGCTCATCTTGTTGCTTTTCCTCCAACCCCTACCAAAACTTGGTAGACACACGTCAAAAAAGGGATATACAGTTATAAGACAATGTTGAGGCGAGGAGTAAAAGGAGTGGGCTTTCTCAGTCTCTATTCTGGAAAGTTCAGGTTTTCTTCTGGACTATAGAAATATTAAACTCTTCACTTTCTCTGACCCCAAGGCATTGTCCAAACAGGTGTACACTGCCTTGCAAAGCACAGCTGGGGTGGAAATCTATGCCCTGTTCTCTAGCTGACTCAATTAGAGAGCCAGGTGTGCTATTTTCCTACATTTCAGAATAAGAACATGTAGAAGTTCAGGCACTTGGGTTCATTCACTATTACCATTCTCGCTCATGAAATAATGACCACTGGGGGCTCTCTGATTTCAGGACATACTCCAAGTTCTGCCAGTAAGAAAAGACAGGCATGCCTGCATTTTATTCCTTCTCCACAGTAGGGACAGAAACTGGGAAAATTGAGTATCTATGGCTTACATATAGGTGAAGAACATCAGGCACAAATGAAAGGGAAACTGCTGCCCAAAGGTGCCCAGGTAGTCAGTGCTAAACTCTGCCTTTGAGTCTGGGCTTCTGAGCCCCAGCTTCTGCCCACTTAGCCTGTGCTAGAAAAGCCAGCACCTGGAGTCCATCTCTCTGTGTTCTATTCCCTTATTTTCAAAGAAAGGCACAAATATTTATCTTTCTCCCAAAAACTTCAATTCAACACTCTTTCCACATCTCTTTCTTCTTCACTGCTACAAATATGATAGGGTGACTACTGATGTGTAAGGTATAGTGCAGGAATATGAAATTATCTCCATTTGGGGATCAAATAGAGTTGTTCCACAAGGATCTCAGCTGATGCTCAAAGGTCAGTAAGCTAGCGCAAGCAAAAAGCAGGAAAAGAGGGCAGTCACACTATTCCCAGACTCTGCCCCAGAGCTGGAGCCAATAAGCCCATCCATAGTGTGTAGCTCCAGGGGAAGAGGGTCAATCCCTTTGTCATTGTATCAAATCTCTCTTTGACTGGATCTGACCAAGACTAAAAAATAAATGTAATAAAGAATAAACTTTGGGACCATGCCTGAAACTCACAGTTGTGTCTTTAAGAAATAACCTTTTAGCAAAGAACACAGTCACTACTGACTCCATTTTTTTCTTTTTCAGGAACTAAAATAGGAAAAGTTGGGCTCACTCCCTGTGTTTGCCCACAAAACAGCCAAATGAAGCGTCACAAGCAAGCTGGGTGAATCGAGTTTTACCTGTGACAACTTTGGTAGATTATGGCTGGTGCCTTCAGTAGCCATTGACTCTACGTGTTCCTTTAATCTAGGGTGAGGTGCCAACAGCTTCAGGATATCGGGAGGGTGTTCCTGAGAATCCCCCGGGACTGATGGTGAAAAGAAACTAAGGAGAAGCTGTGACATAAAACAGAAGACTTCACTACTTAAGTTTCTACAGGTGCTCAGGTGAAGGGGGAAGGGCAGAAGGATGGGGGCACAGCTTATAGGGCAAAATTCCAGGGAGGAAGCCTTGGACCAGTGTCCCTGGACATAGCAGGGCAGGGGTCTCTGCTTCAGTGTGCATCGGAATCACCTGAGGAGCTTATGAAAAAGCCAGGTTCCTCATTCCCACTCCTGTCTCTGGAGGGCTGAAGTGTGGCCCAGAAATCCGGGTTTTGAGAAGGCACTATAGCTACCTCTGTTACCTAGCCAAAGTTAAGAGCCACCACTCTGATGCTATCATGCTGCAGAAATATTTGCGGTGGCATTTAAAAACTCATCTGAAAGAAAAGACACAGAGTGGTGAAGTCAGGAGAAAAACCTCAGTTGTCAGGAACCTGGAGTCATATCCATAACTGCCCAGTGGACAGAAGCCTACAAAGGTCTCCTAAGTTCCTCACTGCTTCTTTTCTTTCTCCTCCCCACCCCCACCATCACTCCTGCCAGGGACCTGAGCAGTGAAGTGTTAGGAAAGCAGAACTCAAACTTCCTCCCTCTTCTTCCATCCTTCCCCCATTTGGACCTTCTCTTTCCAGAAAATGTTAGATAAAGTTCAAGTACCCAGGGCAGGCAGTTTCCAGCCTATTGCTGGTTTTGCTTGCAATTGGACATGATGGGAGGGTAGATGAGAAGAAGCATAATGGACTGGGATTCAAAGATATGCATTCAAGTGAGGGCTGCACCATTAGCTGTCAACATTCTTGCTTTAATTCTCTCCTGTACCAGCAGGGAATATATACATATATGTACATATCATCTGTGATGTATATGATATCATATTACACGTGATACATATGTATGGTATATAATATATAACACAAGGAAAGCAGGTCACTGAGCTTCTAAAACATATTCAAGTGTTTGTACCTAGCAGCCCTTGCAGACTTTGAGACCTGCTAAAGGTGCCCAAACCCTTGTTCAGGCTACACAGTCAGGGTATTAACTGATTAAGCGAATTTGACAGAACACCACACTCCAGTTTGATTTATTCTCTTGCTGGCCCCCATCAGTTTCTTCACACTGTCCCTTTGGATGCCAGCACTTACCATGAAGCCAAACCCTGCTCAGCCTTCAAAATCTCAGCTCCTTCCCTTACTACTCCCATCTCTCTGATCGTACCTGCCCTTTCATGTTTTCTACAGACCATAATACAACATCTTAAACTACACCATCTTATGTTGTCCTGGAATTGTGTCACAGAAATAAGTTTTTCTCTCCTGACAGATGGCTAGCTCTGAAGGGCACAAAACAGATGCCTAATATATACCACACTGAATGGAATTGAATTAAGACAGTTATTCTTTCCAGAGCCCAAAGAAAAGTCTAGCATTCAGGTCCAAAGTTCTTAGACAGATCTCAATGTTTCTTTTCAGCTCTGGAAAACCCATTCCCTGGGTATAAGCTGGGAAAGGAGTGAGATGGGGAGACACTCACAGTTTCAAAGGCCATAAATACCAGCTTTCAGAGGCACCTGTGCCCCAGGAGCCCTACCGAGGGGCCCAACAGGACCAACCCACTTCTGAAGCAGTCTCCTCAAAGGAACACGGTGTTCTTCAGGGGCTACATAGCATTCCAAGGTACAAGGATGAAAGGGCACAGGGTGGCAGCAGAGAAAAGGAGGCCAAGGCGAGAAATCAAAGGAAACAAGGCAGAAATAATAGCAGCAGTTCCCTTCTTCACTTTGCTACCTAAGATCTCTCTCTAGGCCTTCTCAATGGCTTTGGAAAACAAAAGTTGGGGTCAACTCTCAGTGAGCATAATCATTCCACATGAATGAAAGTCAATTCCACTGCAGCTTCAGCCTTAGAAAGACCCAACTAGGTCAAGAAGGAAAGAAAAAAGAATCCGAGGTAAAAACAAACACTAAAAAGAAACACAGGGCTGTGAGTTCTAAGGCTGCTTATTAATGCCAAGTGAAACTGGACCATTTTTGTGAAATCTTTAGCCCTGAAAGTAGAACAGTCCAGTGAATAAGTAAAGCTGAGGCCCCTCAGAGTTCTTAAATGGCTGCTACAGCCTCATCACACTCAGCAGAAATTTGCCTCTAAATTCTTATGCTAACTTCAGAACTCTATAACACTCATTGCAGGCACATGCTCACTTGTATTGTCTGGCATTAATATTAGCAAACATAAAATTGTAAGTTCCTTGAGAAATTTATGCCTCTTTGGGTCTCCAGAGCTTCACACAATGCCTTGCTTCTCATCCTATCAGATAGGTGTGGAAATGGCAACAGCCCATCTATAAAAGCAAACTGGAGAGAGAGGTCAGTCCAACTGATGATACCAGAACCTTAGGCCAACTGGGGAAGGAAAAAAGAGAGGTAAAGAAACCATTCATCTTGAGACCAAGACCTGCCTCTTGCAGGCTTTGTATATCCTGTTCCCAAAGTCAAGTTCTTTCCATCCAAGAATTTGATAGTTCCACTGTTACTGCTTACCCAGCCCCATCAGTAAGTGCTCAGACTCTGACATGTCCTCCTGGGATAGCAGAAAGTAGGAGTAGTGAAGAGGGCAGACTTTGGAAGCAGTCCAAGTTTGAATGTTTTCTAATCAGTCACTAGGGGTGTGACCTCAGAAAAGTCACCAAGAATAAGCTTCCTCATCTTTCTTATTTGCAACATGGGGATAAATACCGGTACCCTCAGAGAGAAGTAGTGGGAATTCAATTATCTCTTCTTCAAGCCCCTAATACAGGAAATGCTCAAGAAATGTTAATACACCATAGGCTGCATTTCAGATTTGGGGAAGGATCCACAGCTTGAAGAAATTCTTCCTGACTCATGCTCCTCTCAAGAAAACCTTGTCCACACACCCAAAACAAGTCAAAGCAACTTCCCAGACAGGAAATTCTCCGTTAGAGGCATAAAATCCACAGCCCAGCTTCCATCAAATTTATTGATTTTGCTAAAGATTCCTTTCAAGAGCCTTCAGAAACCAGTCCTGTCTCTTGCTCACTTTCTTCATCCACTGTACTGCCAAACCATACAGGGACAGAAGGACTTGTGGCCTGATTGTGAGTAGGAGAATGGGGCACAAGAGAGTAGACACAACCACAGACCTGTCAGCATCCAACTTCCAGGCCAATTAGCCAGACACCAGGAGAATAAATTGCAAAACAAAAAACAACAAAGTTCATGAACTGAGGGTGTGTGATCCTTCAATCATACTTTTAGTATTTCATGCAATTTTTTGTCACAACCACATTTTCCTGGGATCCAAGATTTGGAATGACTATTTGGATTATATTGTAGTGGTCTCTGCCTTGCCTTTGTGAGAGTGTGTTTCATTTCTAACAAAGGAGGTGAAGGTTAGGGTTCTGCATATGACAGGGGAAGAGGAGACCATCAACATCCCTTCCTAGGAGTTGACCAGCCTGTGTGGCTGATGAAACTGTAATTCAGCCAAAGAAAAATTATACAGCTGCAGGCAGCTTCACACCCCAGATTTCTCATTAACAGTCAGAATCTCCTGAGCGAGCCTCCATCTCCAGGTTAAGGTATTTGCTTTTGTTTGGTTTTATATTCCACAGACAACGTAGACCCTGAGTTAAAGCATTCCTCACAGGCCCATACAAAATGCAGGAACTGTGCAATCTGATTGCACACACCAGAAGAACAGCGTTTCTGAGCAATCAATTGACTGTGTTGTATTCCTCCCATCCCCTAAACCTGGAAGACTCCAAATGCCAGGGAGGGCAGCGTCCTCATTCGCCTCCCCAGAGAAAACAGAGAAGTGGGGGTCCACTAGACGACCGGGCCTGATGTCATTCCAACTCACCCTTTGTGCTTCCCATCTTGCTCTCTCATTCTTTCCGTCAAGGGATACGCAGTAGATAAACTCTCTCAGGGCTTCTTCCACCTTGCCTAAGGTGGCCAAGGCTTGTGCTTTTCTGAAGTGTGCCTAGAAGAAAACATCTTAATCACCTTCTTAATGCTGCTACTATTAATAACCATTACTGAGTACTTACTGAGCAGTCACTATTGTGTGACTCTTTCATCTTCAGCCCTAAAATGTGGACAACTTTTCTGAATCCCATTTTAAAGAAGACAAAACTGAGATCCAGAAAAGTAACTTGCCCAAAGTCATACAGCTGGCAAAATGTGGAAGATGGATTTGAACCTGGAGCTGAATACACCAAAGCCTATATTCTTAACCAGTGCACCACACTTTGCCCTCTCACCCACCATTGTATGAGGCATGACAAACATAGCCAGAAGCCCCATTTGACCATATACTAACACAGCTTTCAGGGCCTATCCAAGTATGTCTTCCTCTGTAATGGCTTGTAAGCAGAGACCTAGTTGACAGGAGTAGCTTGAGAAGGCACCTAGACTTGGTGACCATTTTGCAAAAGAAGGAGCATGACCCCTCTAAGAGTTCAAAGTTTGCTAGTTGCAAATGGAACTGGAACTGTGGCTTCAAGACACCCAGAACATTCTTCCCCACAAAGCAGACTTTCTCATGAAAGAACACACACGTTCACCCTGACATTAATGCAGAGTGTACAGGCCTGAGGCAGGAGGATAGGGAAGTGTAGGTTGGCCAAGAAAGGGTAAACGGGTGCTAGTCCAAGTTCTGCCTTAGGGCATATCCCAAGCCCCACCTAGGACAAGCTCCCTTCAGTAAGCATCTGGATGGGAACATCCTTGGTATCCCCTTTTAGTGGTCAGCTTGGTGGTCACTGCATCACGATAAAGGAGGATGTTTACGCAGAGGGAAAAGTTCTGGAACTAGTGTGTGCTTTGAGGGCTGGGGAACCTGTTCCCAGAAGACCTTCTGAGACACCCCCAGGTCCTCAAGATGGTAGCAGGTCCATAATGCTTGATCTGAAATTCCTGGAGGCAAAAGTTTTTGATAATCCAATATTTTCACAAGCTTGGCATCAAAATTCATTTGGTGACAAAATCTGGCCTAAACTGATGTAAAGTGTTGTAAAGGATTTGTCCTACTTAGTGTGAATTTTCATGTGATATGCTACAGAGATGGTTGATTAATTAGTGTGATTGTGATACTGTCCCGGAGCTCACTTATTATTATTGTCTTTCTAAAACCAGAAACATTCTGGAATCAGAGAACATCTGGCCCCATGAGATTCAGATAAACCATCATGGCCCTGGTTTTGGATAAGTTGCTTTCCATCTCGCAAAATGTTCTCTTGTCCATGCTCACTTGGGATCCTTATACATTCCTTTGAGGCAATCAGGGCAGATAGCAATAGCTTCATTTTATAAATAAGGACACTTGGGGTTCAAAGAGTGAAGTCACTTCTCCATGGTCACTTTGCTTGCAAGTAGTAGAGCCCAGGCTTAAATCTAATCTTCTAAACAAAACATTGCCATGTGGTAGAGGACAGTTATGAGGCCAGGCAGAGATGTAGAAAGTGACGTATTGTATCAGGCATCCTGAGAGATGCCTTCCTATCCTTTTTCCTAGCCCTCCTATGTGACCTAGATGTTTGGGGATACTGGCAGGTCAAGGGACACATTAAAGACTTGAAATGGCACAACCATTGTGGGTGTGGGGATCTCTCTTCAAGGAAAGTTGGCCAAGCTCCTGAGACACTCGGCTATCAGTAGAAGTCCCCAGGGCCAGGCCAGCAGTACTTCTCTCACCCTCTTCTTCCTACTCTCTGGAAATGATAAAGGTAATGATGATGTGATGGTGGTGTTGGAGGTGACAGCAAGGACATAATACTACATGCTGGGCACTGTTCTAAACATCTTCCCTACACCAGCTCAGATAATCCTTGCAACAACCCTATTTAGTAGGTGCTTTCAATATCAGTATTTTTACAGATTAGGAGATGAGGTTAAGTAATTTTGCCCAAGGCCACACAAATAGTAAAAGTAGCAGAGCTGGCACATAAGCCCACATATTCTGGCTCCCAATTCTGGATTTGGAGAGTCACAAAGCCCAGGCTGCTCTGCAAGTCCCCAGTTGAAGACAGAGCTAGGGAAGAATCCAGTTCCCTTGCTGATTTGAATCACCCTTTACCAGGTGTGCTCCCTACCCTCTGGCTCCTTTAGAAAGTCACCCTCCCTGCTCCTTTTGAGCCCTAGCATCCCTTCCCCCAGGGAGGCAGCCCTTCCTGCCCTACCTGCCTCCAGCATAACCCTTCCCATCCCTCCTATCCCACACTCACCTTAAAACCCATTGGGCGGAGTTTACATGCTATTTCTGCATCATGCAGTGCATCTTCATGAGACTCCAAGGTGAAATAAATTTGAGAACGATTGCTATAAAGCAAGTGGTCATTTGGAGCTGCCAAAAAGAGAACACAAAAAAAGCCCCAATTAATGGCCCCCAGCACAAGCACGTGATAAGTCCTGGATGAGGATGGATCTTGAGCAAAGACACACCACTGAAGATTTTTCTACTGGGGATCCAAAGGGCTAAGCTCCATTTCCAGTCCTGGTATCATCCTGCCTTTCACATCCCCAGCTATTCTATGTCGGAGCTTCCCCAACTGCAAAGAAACCGTTTTTGTCCCCTCTCTCAAGCAGTTCCTTAGAGGTCTTGTGGTATTTAAGGTGCATTAGAAACTTTGACCTAGAGAAAATCCTGGAAGACTAGCTTCTGAGTGAGTCCAGGGAAGAAAAAGACAGAGGTAGCTAGATGTAAGCCCTATCCTAACCTCCAGCAAGGCAGTTCCACTTTAGTCTTCTAGGTGGCATGACTGGTAATTGCTAGCATTTCTCTCTAAAAGCCCAGCACATCTGAATGAAGCTTCCCTGAAGGAGATGGAAGTGTATTTACAAGATCCTTTATTCCCATTACAGGTGGCCAAATGTGAATGAACCTGGACAAGGCTTCTAAGAATAAGTGAGACTGAGTTGCACCAATGTTCAGAATCACAGAATCACTATTTGCTAGGCCCGGACAGGCCTTTATAGATCATCTGGTTCCACCAACCCATTTTTCAGTTGGGGAAATCAAAGCCAGAGAAGAGAAGGCATCTGCTCAAGGTCACACAGTTAGCTGGTTGGAGTCATTGCTAACTGTTCAGACTTTGAAGCTGGGATGGAGACAGGTTCCTTTTATTGAGGATGGGTACAGTACTTAGGATAATGAGACAATAGCCATCTGAAGAAGTCCCTTTTCCTCTTGGAGAGGCGGAAGCTGGTCTTGACACTTTTTTTTTTACCCTGACTGCTGTGAGTAGATTAACAAAAGTGCAGGGAAGACTGTCCAGGGCAAAGTGATGGCAGCAAAAATGGAGGAGGCGGCCAAGAAAAGGCTTTCTTGGCTGGCCCTTGGGGAATGACTAAAGAAATGGCCTACCCTTAGAGAGCTGTAATTTAATGGCTTTCCCCTGTTTCATTGATGCCCGGTTCTTCCCCAGGCGCTGGGCTCCACCTTCTGTTGCGGGCAGTAGGCTTTGACCCCCGCCCCCGCCCCCGCCCCCCAGGAGAGTGCTGAGGGCTTGCTTGGGTGCCTGCTATTTGCTCTTCAGACTTTAGCAAAGAGTTGACAGTCTTTCTTTTGCTTCTCTTCTGTAGCACACGCCAGCCCAGTGGCAGCTCCCAGCCTGCACTGTCTGCATGCAGATAGGGTGTGTGTATATGCGGGAGGGCTGGGGTCTTTCTTTCCCTCAAAGCTACCCTTGCCCAGTCAGTTCCTGGTCCGCTCCGTCCTTCATAACTTGTCGCAGGCCTGAGTGGGGATTGGACACATGGAGCCTGCAGCCCACTTCCTCCCCTCCCCCCTGGCAGAGCCAGGTCCAGGGCACCCTCGGATCCCTGAGCCCTGTCTACCTGGCCCTGTTGCCTCCTCCCTGGCATGCTTCACCGGCCACCGCGCCCCACCGGCCAGCAGAGCTGCTGGCAGCAGGCTCGAACGGGGCAATAAGGGCCGGCGGCTCAGAGGCCACTTCCTGGGTCCAGGAGTGGGGGAGGGACAGGAGCAAGCAGGTCCCCCGAGAACTCGGGGACTCCAATCCAGCTAGAGGTGTGGGACTGCCCACGCTGCCCGTGAAGTTGCAAAGCCCACCTTGGAAGCAGGATGCCCTCTCATGCTTCCTCAGGGATCCCGAGCTGGGCTGGCCGGGTTAAGGGGTTTGAGGCGACGGACGGTACAGGCTGCCTGCTGGCGGTAGCGGGGAGGGGCATCTATTTCAGCCAAGGATCGTGTGATAGGAAGCGGCGACAATGAGTCACAGGGCAGCGGGGCGCGAGCGCTCCCCTCCCTCTCCCCCTCCCCGCACCCGCTGGCGGGATGGTTTCCGAGGCGAGGCGAGGCGAGGCGAGGCGAGGCGAGCGTGGCCCACTTCGGTTACCTCAGCCGTTACACAATCCCGCCCGCCCGCGCGGAGGAGGGGCCGCCCGGCCCGGGGCGCTCGCGGCCCTTATGCAACCAGTGCTCTCCTGACCTAATTCCAGGCCGGACCCACCCCACAGGGAGCCGCGGCCCCGGAAGGGACAACTCCCAGAGGCGGGAGCGCCAGACGCAGGCGCCGACCGGACATCTCCGCCTGGCAAGAGCCAGGGAGACCTGGCGCGAGTGCGGGAAGGGTGCGAAGTTCCTCTCCTGGCAGGGAAGATGCCGGCAGGTGTAAGAGGGAGTCCGGACATGCAGGGAGGAAGGAGAGGCAGAGAAATAGAGAGGGTGACACCTCGCAAGATAAAAAGACTGACAAAGATGCAAAGAGTGAAAAAGGGACAGAGGTAAAAAGGTGACATGGACAGAAACAGAGACTGAGATACCCAGAACTCCCCCAAACTAACAGGAGATGAAGAAAAAACCAAAAGCAGCAGAGGCAGAGACCCAGGAGAAAGCTAAAGTGTGAAGGACAAAGTTCCAGAAATTCCCCCCCCTCCCCCCCGCTCTGCCCTGGGCAGGCCATGTTCCATCGCGGTCCCCCCACCCCCCTCCTCTGCCCTGGTCCATCCCCCATCTCCCAGCCCAGTTCATTCTCCCGCCCCCTCGCGTCGTGACCAAGCTCCCCCTGGCCCCGGGGGCGCTGAGAGTCTCACCCAGCTTCACTGCCTCGTTGTACTTGAGCAGCGCCGCCTCCACCTGGCGCTCGCGGTACAGCCGGTTGCCCTCGTGCCGGAGTTGCGACGCCCGCGCCGGGCCCGGGAACAACTTGCCGAGGAGGCCGCTGAGCACCACGTTGACCCGCAACGGCGGGGGCGCCTGCTGCCCAGCCCGCCGGGCCCCGCGCGCTCGTCCAGCGGCCACCATCAACGTGGAGAGTTTGACCCCACACAGCGCACAGCGCCGATCGGCTGCCCGCCCACGTTCCAAGCACAGTTTACAAAAGGTGTGTCCGCACGCCAAGGACACGGGATCTGATAGAAATCCTTGACACTTTCGGCACTTAAAGCCATCCCACACCTCGGTGGCCATGGCAGCCCCTGCCTCTTCCACTGCCACAGTGCAGCTTGCTTCGCTACTCAGGTCGGAGGACGCGGGCGCCAGCGCCTCATTTTGCGGGACTCTCTCTGCCAGGCAGCGCACCAGCTGCTCCAGCTGCTCGGCCACCAGCTGCTGCCGCGCAGAGAGCTGTCTGTACACCTCGAGGGCTTCCCGAAGGCGCCCCCCAGATGCCAAGGCACCGGCCTGTGTGAGTAGAACTTTGCATTCCGGCGGCGGCGAGGTCCTGGGAGGCTGCTCTTGTTCCAGCTCCCGCCTCTGTAGAGGTTCGGGGCTCTCCGCAGTCGCCTCCGGGTGGGCGCCCGAGTCTACTCCTGCTGCCGATGCCGCCCGCTCCGCTGGCTCCGCCAGCTCCAAGTTGTTGTGGCCGAGCCCTGCGGGCAAGCACAACATCTGTTCAGTCTGAAATGAATCCATAGAGAGAAAGAGAGAGAGAGAGGGACCAGCGCGAGGAAGAGGCGTCTAGGGACCGGGAACACGGAGCAAGGGGTGGCGCCTGGAAGGAATCGGGGCTGTCCCGGTCACCGTGCCGCCCGGCACTGAGCTCTGCCGCGCCTCCGCGAGCTCCATGCCGGCTGCCCCGCGCCGCCTAATAACTGTCTTGTCTCAGCAAAGTGTTATATAAAACGTCACCACGTGACGCGCCACCACGCTGCTCATTGGCCAGCGGCGGGGAAATTGTTACAAAACCAGACAGTTTTGTAACAGTGTTGCGCTTGCTTCTTTTGGCTTCGCTTTTCTTGGCTTCTTTTTGAGGTTGTTTGTGTTTACATACTGCCTTATTTCCGACTCGCAACTTGAGTCATTTTTAGAAGAGGGAGAGGAACTCAACCTCCTCTCTCAGGCTTTTCCGTCTCCAAAGCCAACCCCATCCCACCTCCAAACTGGCCAGCAAACAGGTCCCCTCTGCCAGCCGCTTGCTACCGCCCCCCGCCCCGCCCTGGAGAGGCTGATATCTGGGGGCGCGGTGCACAGGGTTTGCTGGACGGCCATGGCTCTCCCTCCAGGCGGCAACGGCTGCGCTCTTTGAAGGACGAGAGTTGATAGCCACATCCGAGAAGTCCTCACTAGAGAGCCCTAGGAGCCCCACTGTGGCTCCCGGCTTTCTTCGCAGAGCCCACGAAGGCTGTGAGTGCGGTTTCCCGCGGGATTTTGGTCTCCCGCGCAGGAAGTGCCTGGGAGCAGTTGGTCTGGCGGGCACAGAAGTTGGGCAGAGCTCTTGCTGGGAAGCAAGGAACACGCAGAGATGTGCTTTCTGACTTGGACCAGGGGAAGGCTCCCGGTTTGCCCTTCTCCTTCTCCCCCCACCCCCACCGCCGCCCCAACACCGGAACCAGCGCTGGGGCGGGCAGCCGGCGCCCAGCTGGAGACCCGTCGGCCCGCAGAGCCACCAGCCGGATGGGTGCGGCCAGAAGAACTGGGCCTGCTGGGTGGGTCCGGTGGGCACTCTGGGGGCGTGGGAGAGTGGCAGGCGAAAGACAGGAGCCAAGAGCAGCGCTACTCAGGAGAAAGTCCGCAATCCAGGCAAAGCCCAAAGGCCAAGGGAGAATTTTGACAGCGAGCGTCACAGTGGGGTGGCGTGGCTGCGTGGGAGGGGACACCTAGGCACAAGCTGCGGTGCCTGGTTCACAATGGCCAGGCGGCCTCGAGGCTACCTCGTACATTTTTAGACGGGCAGACTTGTGGCCAGCCGCACAGACTGTTTTGCCTCCTGCCTACCCCACATTTCAGACAGGAGCAACACGCACAAATCAGCAGACAGCCTAGGAGACCTTAGCTGAATAACTCACTTCCTAAGACCAGTTGCGCTGTTTCAGGGAGGGGGACAGGGTCTGGACTCACCCAGCCTCCCCTCCAGAGCCTGCGGGTCCTGGGCAGTTCTAGGAGCAGGAGTTGGAGCAGAGCACTGCCCCAGGGGCTGAAAACCTGAAGTTGGTGGTTTCAGCTGTAGCCACATCTTAACTGGGTGACCTTAGGCATATCACCTAAACTCTGAGACCCTCATTTTCACTTCTGAACAAATGACAAGGATGATCTTGGTTGTCATTAAGAAATACTTCAGAGTTGGGGACCCCCAAATTCATCCAGGGTCTGTCTCTTTACATCATTAATGCCACCTAGAGCCAACACCAAGGTCCCAGAGAACAGGTACTATGCAGCAAGCCCTAGAACCTCTCTCTGGTAAGGCAGGACAGGGAGAGAGTGATGGGGGAAAAGGAAGCAGCACATAGACCAAAGAAGAGAGTAGAGGGGAGAGGAGAAGGTTATTGGGAGATAACCTTTCATACATGTATGTAATATACTTGTAATATACATACGTGTATGGAAATAACCTAATGAAATCCTTTAAAACTAGAAAAGGGAAGGAAGTAGGAGGGATAAGAGTAATAGAGGGGGTGAATGTGATCAAATTACACTATATGCATGTATGGAAATATCAACAATGAAACCACTTTATACAATTACCATCCAGTAATACAAAAAAGAAGAGACCAAGAAAGAAACAGAGAAACTCAGTATATAGCCAGGAAGGCATGAGAAACAGGAAAACTTGGTTTGAAGCCCTGGCTTTGTCATGACTTGCTATGAGACATTGGGCAACTCCTTCAGGATTTAGCATCTCCTGATCTCCAAGGTTCCCTTCAGCCCTAACCTTGAGTGGCCTTGATTCTAAAACCAGATTTCAGGATGCTAACTCAACTACTTAAATATAAACAACTATTCCAGATGAAGTGCGTGGTGGCTGGTGTTGGAGATTGAAGTCACCAGCAGAAGTGGCAGGACAGGGCCGACTAGAAGGCTGTCCTCTGCCAGAGTCATGCCTGAGCTAGGTTTTGAACATAGGGAAGTCAGTCAAGGGACTGGCCAAGTGGTAGAAGAGGTGGCTGTGACAGGCAACGGGGAAGAAGCTGGAGCCTCTGGTGACTTGCTGTCTGAGGGCTCCTTTCACCCCTCAGTTTCCCCTGCTGTTAAATGGGATCCCCGCCACTAATTATCTGCCTACCCCTTCTGGCATCTGTGAGAAGGGACAGGCTGTAGGGCAGGCAAGGACATTTATATGAAAGACCATGAATAAATGATGAAAACCTTAATTCATAAGAGCTTTATCCTTTTGACATGTCTAAAAAATGGATGTTTATTACTCAATATTGTCTTCTAGATACAGATCTGGGATATCCTTGCTCCTTGGACCACCTTGGCAAGGGAGCACCCCCTGGGTTCATTTTCCCACCTTAATCTGTTGGTAACAGGGAAAATGAGAAGGTGAGGTCACAGTCCTGTAGGCATGGAAAAGAGATGTGATCTCCAGGCAGCCTCTCTTGGCAGTTGCACGTGCGAGAGGCTGGCCATGAACTTGATCAAGACTGTTAATAGCTGTCAGGGTGATACAAGGTGTGCTGGTGCAGAAGGCACCACCTAGCCACTAGTCAGAATCCACAGGGAGTTTTCCACTGTGTTGCATTGTAATCAGCACTGTGTGTGGCACAGCACCAAATGGGTTTCTACTGAATTCTAGAAAACTTGACACAGTGGTTTTCTTTCTTATTAAAGTTAGACAAATATTACCTTGATATACATTTGTGGATCAACTCAAAAGTCTCCTACTCAAAATTTCCTCCTCCCTGATCTAATAATTAGAGCCCCTGGAAGGAGGGCAGGGGAAGGTTGGCAACTATTTTGGATTCAGATATTCCCATTGGAAGACCAGATTCTTCTATTTATTTTGCTGATTGCACTTGGCTAAAGTGAACCAGGAAGAGGAAGCAAGAATTGAACTACCCCTCATTTTCACTGACTACAGCAACAGTTTTCCAATTAGGCTCTGAGGAACCTCCCTGGACCCCAGATGAGAGAGTGGGCAGGACTCAGGACTCAACTCTCCCTCCCCTCAGCCAGGGCAACTTCCCATCCGTCTGCTTCATGTAGTGAGCTTCTAGGTATAATTTCATTTAAGCTTACCCTTTAAAATAAAAAGGTTGAAAGCCACGGTAATTTTCACCCAGTTTTGCATATTCGTTGAACATCTTCTATGGGTCAGACACTGTTCCAGGCACTGGAGATAGAAGAGCCCTTAGCTCCCAGGTCCTTCCTGACATAGTATAGTACATCTTTCCCCCATGCGTTCTTATACTGGCTTCTTGTGTGGACGAGATGCTATGGGCAGGGTGGGGTGAAGGATTGGTGTCTTGTGTCTTTCTTGTCCTGCTCAGAAGACAGTGTTTGAACAGATCTTACTGGCACTGATTGGAAGTGCTACGGAGGGGAAAAAGGAAACTCAGTTGAAAAGTACCTTTGCCCTTTCTCATTTATAAAGGAGAGAGCAAGAGAGTGTGCATGCACATAATTGAATGGTTGACAATCCTGTCCTTGCAAAGGACTGCTAAGGAGCTCTGTGATGGAACAGTCTGGTCAAACCGAGGGACATGGAGTGAGGAGTGAGAACACATACACACACACACACACACACACACACAGTGCATGGAAGCTTGGTCAAAGCATACACTTGCTCTCTGAGTTTCTCATTTCATAAACTGAGACCCACTTATAGTCTTTACAGGGAAAATAAGATAGCATGGGCATTAAAGGCATTCACATGGGAAAAAAGAAGACTCCCCTTTGCTATATAGAGTAGCTCAAACCCAGCATTACCCAAAATCAGCAGCTCTGGTTTAACAGATGAGTACAGTGAGTACCAGAGAAGGATAAGGACTTGTTGCAGGTCACAGTGGGGGTTTGGACACAGCCAGGATTGGAAGCTACAATTCCTGTCTCTTTGTTTAGAGTTTTTCGACATCATCAGAAAGCTTTCAAAGGACACAGAACATCTCTCCAAATAAGTAAGAAATTATTTCAGATTTTCTACCTACAAGACTTCCATCAATTCAGTAAGTATTCATTGAACATGTACTGTGTGCTAACGGAGCTGGCATTTGTAGAGCAGTTAAAAGAAAGATATGACACAGTCCTTATCCTTCACAGAGGAAACAAGAGGTAAAGATTTGAAACAGTTAAGTAAAAACAACAGGCAGTACTTAAGAAATGCCAACATGGGAGGACCAGAGTGTCCAAGGGCGTAATCAAGGAGGACAGACAGTGGGGTTTACCATTTTACAGACAGAAAGTGTCTTGAAGCTAGGTGGGAGAGGATTTAAATAGCTGCTTCTCAAATCAAGGGGGCTCCCTTCAGATTGGGGGCGGGGTGGCCTAGGAAAAGGAGGAGAATTCCAAGTACATTGGGCTGGCCAAGGTCCAGGATCTGTGTGTGTGTATCTGGTGCTGGGGATGGTGCTGGGCCTTGCACACGCTGTGCAAGTGCTGTACCACTGAACTACATCCCCAGCCCTGGAATTTGTAGTTTTAAAGGCTACCCACATGATTGTGATGCTCAGCTAGGCTTGGTGTTCACCTGTGTAAAGGATGGTGCAGAGCAGACTACACCCCGATGCTTTTCTCCCTACCTCAGTGATGTGTTCAAGGTCACTCAGCAAGTAGTAGGAATGCTGGTCTCCTGCCAGAGTTCAGTAGAAACAAGATCACAAAATACCATCCCAAGGAAGATTTGCTTCACTTCTCTGCTA